TTCTATTTTATTTATGTCGATCTCAGTAATAAATAGACATTTTGCACTAAAATTGTCAGAAAAATGCCATATTTATGTTTGTTCTCTGTATGACACAGGTTGTGTTATCCTAATGAATCATGACCACTTTTGGTTCATAAAACCATAGAAATCCATAGAAATGTTGTAAGTGAGCCTCTCAAGGAGGGAATAAAATAAGTTATGGGCCCTTTAATGAAAAGCCTGTATTCTGGTTGATGTTACTGCATCGGTTTCATTGAAACTACCTATTCCCACTTTTTCTAGGTGGAGATTCTTTCTGGAAAAGATAAAGGAAAACAGGGAAAAGTCACTCAGGTCTTCCGGCGCCGGAACTGGGTTATTGTTGAGGGTCTCAACACGGTAAATATGACACACGAAACCTGCTGGAAATTTTCAGAAATGTAGCATTTCATTGACATTAACACTGACGGTGCCGATCTTCAGCACTACAGGTACGTCGGCAGGTCTGGAGATTACAGAGGGACGTACATCGCTAACGAAGCTCCTTTGCTGCTGAAGGACATCTCACTTATCGACCCTACGGACAGGTGAGGTTAATAAACACGTTACCAAAGCCTGTTTATGGTTTATACACTGCAGTTTGTGTAGATGATGTCACATCTCAATGGAAAAGAAACTCACAGACTCACACAGAGTCCTTATGACAATAACAAACAACTAATGTGTAAATTATATTCCTATATATAAAAAGACGACAATGTGGTGTGAAAAACTCGACGCCTCTGACTTTTAGATGATTATTTCAGGCTTTACAGGGCGACTCACAGCAGAACACACTCACCATATTTTAGCCTGTTTATATTCTCACTCAGTAACGACACGTCTTTCAGTTTTAACAACGAACAACTTCGAGGGGATCAAGACAGGTTGTAAGCAGTCATGTCGAAAGATAAAACATAAAGACATATGCAGACGTTTGGGTGCCAAGTTCTGCTTTTGTTGATTTTTCTAAATGAAAATAAGTTACATGTCCTCTACAGAGACACACTTCTGCACAGTTTAATACAAAATTAATGTTTTTTTACTGAATTTAACTCACTGGGAAAAAAAAGAAACATTAAATGTGTCCTATGCAAAAGTTATAACATAAAATTTGGAGCATTTTATTTTTATGTTTAACTCAGTAAATAATTAGACATTATGCACCACAGTTTGCAAATAAATGCAAACCTGCATTTATCCTGTGGAGGATGTGGACTTTAACTTGCACCGCCTGCGACCAAAAGGCTGTTAAAGGAGTGTTAAAGACGGCAGAATCCATCATAGGCAACAAACTACCAGCCTTACAGGACGTCTATCAGTCCCACTGCCTCAGGAAGATCAAAAAGATCCGGTCAGACAGCGTCACCCAGCACGCAGCCTGTTCACCATCCTGCCATCAGGCAGGAGATTTCACAGCATTCAGGCCAGAACAACCCGGTTAATGAACAGTTTCTACCCACAGGCTGTCAGGCTTTGAACAAGCTGTGAAGCTGTGGGTCCTTCACCAACTACCATTCCACTCAGTCACTCTGTCAGCATTATTATTATACCATGGACAATGACACTGGCACTTTAAAATCTATATATATTCTTGCAGTAAGCCACTGCAGTAACACTGACGTGGTGGTGGTGTGTTAGTGTGTGTTGCGCTGGTACGAGTGGATCAGACACAGCAGTGCTGCTGGAGTTTTTAAACACCTCAGTGTCGCTGCTGGACTGAGAATAGCCCACCACCTAAATAGTACCTGCTCTGTGAGGGTCCATGGGGGTCCTGACCACTGAAGAACAGGGTAAAAGGGGGCTAACAAAGTATCAGAGAAACAGATGGACTACAGTCTGTAACTGTAGAACTACAAAGTGCACCTATATAGTAAGTGGAGCTGATAAAATGGACAATGAGTGTAGAAACAAGGAGGTGGTCAGAATGTTATGCCTGATCAGTGTATTTGTACATAGCAGAGAGCAGAGAGCTTTTTCTTACATAGGTCCCTTCTGTCTCTATATTTTGTGTATATTTAATATATTTCAGTTTCAGTATTTTCTTTGTATTTTTATTTTTACTTTGTTTACTTGCTGTAGACCACAAGCATCTCAATGCATGAATGTCCTGACGTGCAAATGACAAATAAACGTGAACCTTGAACTTAGGGGAAAATAAAATGTGAGCAGGCTGTAGAATTTGGGGCCTTTAAATGATAAAAGTGTAGAGATTTGTTTCTGCTTTTACAGCATAAAACAAAACGGTGTGTTTGTCTGTGTGCTGGTTGACAGGAAGCCCACAGAGACGCAGTGGAGGTTCACTGAGGAGGGCGAGAGGGTGCGCGTTTCAGCCAGAACAGGACGGATCATCCCCAAACCGCTCTTCCAAAGAAAGGACGGCATCATTCCCCAGCAGTGGAAAGGTCAGAGTGCCGGAGTGGACAGGGATTAGTAGAACCTCAGTACTGAGAAATTATAGAAAAATTACAGAAAAATTATAATTCCTTCTTAAAAAAAATCTTGTATTTATTATTTTAAGTTGTCATACTAAACAAACAAAAACTATAGATAATAAATGCGCTACTATTATTGACGTCTTTAATTACCTTTTATCTTATCTTTATCTTTATTTTAACCATTGTCTTAATAAGAAAACTAAAAGTGGTTCCCCAAAGAGCCGTTTTGGCACCTTTATTTTTAAGTGCTGAATTGAAACAGTGTCTCCTCCATCGTTTCAGATGGTCCGAAAGATACGTCGCCTGAAGACGCTCTTCAGAAAACATTCACACCGTCGCTGAAGACTCTGGAGGAGGAGGTGATGGAGAAAATGAACATTCAGGAAGACAGGAGACCCAGAAGAAGCTACTGGTACTGAAGTACAGAACCAGAAAGGACTGAGGAGGATTCTTTTGTTTTGTTTGTTTGTTTTTGTTCAACATGAACAACAAGATAATGATATTTAAAAAGGAGTTACAGTGAATGTCCAAGTGTATTTGTGTGTTCACAATAAAACGACTGCAAATATTCATATACATACATATGAAGTATACATGGTACACTTTTGTGCTCTTGTTCTTGTTCTACCACTGTCTTTTAAAGGGAAACTCCACTGAGATTTTAAAATTCCCAGATTGTTCAGTCACTGAGATGTAAACAGAGTGGTTCAGAATGGTTTGGTGTTTATAGAGAAACTTACCGAGTCAGAACTGTTCACAGTGGTGGTGATAGGAACCAGACGTCCACCTCTAAAAGCTCCCTCACAGAAAGTTACTACAGGAAATGGTTATGAATTCACTGCCTGATGACTGAGACACTGTTTTATGATAGTTTAGAGAACTTAAACTCCATTCATGGTGGAGGGATACATGCAGGGCGCTGTGAGGCAAAATAGTCCCCAAAGAAAACTGATTATTTCAGATTTTCCACTATTTTCCATCATCAACATTCCATATAAACTCAGAAGACTCGTGTAGGTTCACTGGTGGTTCTGGATAGTAAATAAAATGTCTATATTTGTGTTGTAGTCATTTAAGGTATTTTATATATATATATATATATATATATATATGTATGTATGTGTGTGTAAATACAGTAATGTAATTAAGTGGAGACAGTAAGGCTGAACCCTCGTAAAAGTGGAATTTAGTGTGAGTGAAGGAAGGCGAGGTGGCAGATGAAGGATAACACCTGGATTGGCTACACGAGGAACAAAGGGCAAGAAAGAACATTAAACGTGATGAAAAAACCCACTTTTACTTTATTTTCAAAATAAGAGTTTGACTTCACTTGTACCAGTAACACACGCCACCACCACTGCAGTGCTGAGAATGACCCACCACCCGAATAGTACCTGCTCTGTGGGGGTCCATGGGGGTCCTGACCACTGAAGAACAGGGTAATAAGCTATGCAGAGAAACAGATGGGATATCTGATATTTATTTGTAAAAATCATCTAAGCGTAGAATGGTGTTGTTTGATGCCCTGTATTTAAAATAAAGGGGTCACTAAAACATAAAAAAGCGCAGTTAAACTTCTCAATGTAAAAGAAAACAAAATAAAACAGAAAAAAGAAATCTGTCGTTCCTTTTGGCTTCTGTGTGTATAAAAACATAACATGTCAAAATGAAAGAAGCGCGAAGCACCAATCGGCACAGCGGTCACTGTGTTTTGAGCTTGTTTTGACCTGTTGGCCATACCGACCCAGTGCAGCACACGGTTCAACGTCAGTGCAGCAGAGTAAAATTTTGGGAGAGTCTATTCAACATAAATGATGAACTAACCTAACTTTGTGTAAACAGACCACAATATAGAAATATGTACTCATATGCAGTTGTGACTGACGGTCTTTTTTCTAAATTTATACAAACACATTTCATTTTATAGTAAATTAGTTTAGGCTAGTTTATGTTTATGAACAGAGACCTACAGATGCAGTTTAGTAAAGGAAACTCATTTGTGAATCTGAGTTTAAAGTCTTTATTAAACTTAAACTTGTAACTAAATCTTAAACTGAAACTTTGCTTGTTTGTAAAGTGATTTCAGAGCCACTCAGTTCTACCTGATGGAAACTGTTTGCCTTCAGTGTTTTGTGCTTATGATAATTTTAATAGACATCAGCGTCACTAATTAATGACGTTCTATTAAAAGACTGGTTTACCAAGAGAGACACTGGAGTATTTTCACCTAAAATGAGTTAATGAAGCGAGTCTTGTTACAAAAATGATAATAGGACATTAAAGACATAATTAATCTTTTAGTACTTTTACTTTCGATACTTAAGTACATTTGAGGGCAAATACTTTAGTACTTTTACTCAAGTGGAGGTCTAAAGGGAGGAACTTCTACTTTTACTGGAGTAATATTTGACCTTGGGTGTCTCTACTTTAACCCAGGTACCTGGTTTGTGTGCCTCGTCCCCCACTGGTCGCTTTTAAGGGGGGTTTACTGAGTGGTGACTGCTGCGCTTCTCCTCCACACCGCGCGGTGGCGCCCAAGCACAAAACCCGCGAAAGGGGGGAGGGAGAAGAGCCTCGTTTTGTTTACAGACGCTTTAGCCGCTAACAGGCTAACTGCTCTTTTTAACCAAACAGCGGCTTATTTTGGTCAAATTAGGGCGATTAAGGGACAAAATGGTAATACTCCATATTTTCCAGGCAGATAATCTGAGAGGAAACTGAGAAGGAGAAGCGCGGAGCTCGGGGTTTGTGAGAGTCGCTCCAGGAACCGATCCGGACCGCAGAGCTGCTGAATTCTTCATGTTTATCTCGTGGCCACATGAACAGATTCAGCCCATTAAACAGTAAAACCTCTTCAAGCGCAGTGAGACAGAAAGGTCTGGGCGGAAAGGGGTGAAAGTGTTGGAAAAGCCGCTCGCCGTGTGAGCGAACCCGCCTCTGCTGTGAAATGTCTCTGGTTTGCTACGACAGCAGCGACGACAGTGACCGCGATGGAGCCCCGAGTCCCGCGGCTACACGACCCGAACCGAGCCGGGCTCCTGCCGAGAGGAAGCTAGACCTGCCGAGGCCCAGAAAGCGCGGGGAGCCGGTGAAAATCTCCGTCCCGGAGATCAACGCAGCGAGTGTGAGTCTGACCTGCTAATGCGATTCATTGGAATTTTCCGGTCCACCTTAAATGGTGCAGCAGTAACACTGTGTAATCGTAGCTGCTGCAGTGTAACTGCTGCACCGTTTAAGGTGGAACGGAAAATTCCAAAACTTCAGTGCTCAGAGGCCTTTTCAAAACCCCCCCTGCTGGTGATCCAATACCCTTCCTGTAGATCTCCTCTCCAACATCGGTACCACAGCTGATCCAGCTTATCTAGAACCTCTGAAGGTGTTGGAGTCTTTAGAAGCTTCTCCAGCGTTTCTAATGAAGTGAAGGGTGCTAGCAGTGAGTCTGTGCTGCAGGAACAGCCTCCACTCTTCTGGGAAGGCTTTAAATTAGATGTTGGAACATTGCTGTGAGGATTTGATTGCATTTAGCATTCACAAGAGCATTGAGGTTAGGTACTGATGTTGGGTGATCAGTTCTGGACAGTTGCACCTGGAAGTAGCTGAATTCACTCGTTAGAAGGGCTGGCTGGACACTTTGGACAGATGTCCAGGAGCAGGGTTGTTGATCATGTCATGACGGTATCATATCGACATTTGCTTTAACGCAGCGTCTCTCAGTCCAGTCTTTGGGGCTCGGTAACTGGTTCAGAGTTTAGATCTAACCAAACTTCTAGTACACCTGCAGCAGGTATTTAGGGTTTGTGCGTGTGGGTATCTGTGTTAGAGCTGGGCGATGTGACAAAAATGTAATGGCATGCTGTTATGAGAAGTTTTCATGATACACAGTATTTTTACTCATATCTGGTAAGATGGAAAAGGCAAAAAAAAAAAAAAACTAGCAAAACTATGCATACAATTACACATATATATATATATATATATATGATGGAGAGTTCTGGTTCTAAAATCGGATTGGCTGAGCTGCATTCATTGTTAAACAGTGCTGTGTTATCATATGTTCATTGTTATATGACAAAAAACGTTCTCCTTTTTCATGCTTGCTCTAAAGGAACTACATTCCTTGGCAGAGTACTTGTTTCTGTCAATTATTATTAATAATAACTTGAATTATTTTCTGAAAAATTGTGCATTTTATCATATTTTATGTTGGCCGTCATTTTATAAAAGCAATAAGCAACTTGAGGCAGTGCGTTTCTGCGATTTGATCACGGGGAAAGGAGTTATAATCAGTATAGATAGATAGATATGTTTAATAGGTCGCTGCTGTCGGGACAAACCTTTGTATCTCCAAAATGGTAACTTTACAGGAGAAGGAAAAAAAGCATACTTTACTTTTAATGTAAGTCAATGGAACCAACATTTTTTCCAAGTTTCTTTTGGTCAATACATCAAGAAATCACACAATGTGAAGGGAAACAGGCATTTTCAAATTAATGACATCAAATTAATGAAAAACGAATGGAGATACAAGGTTTGGTTCTGACAGCAGCGATATATGTACACAATACACGCACAAGTGTGCAGACGTACTCATATTTACAAGACATTATTAATCAACACTACGGGTTTATAAACGTATAAACTTGATATTGTGATGCATATTGTGAGACACGTCATGAGAATGTCGGGATGGCTGGAGAAACACTGGTCTGATGTGTCTAAGTAATAAAATGTTTGTGTTGTTCTTCTTTTATCAGTCGGATTCAGATGAAGATGAACCTGTGAGAAAGAGAGCAGGAGCTCAGGTGAGTCACGGTTCAGCGTCTCGTTCCTTCCTGTTTAAGATGGTGACGTAGGCAGAAAGAAATATCGGTAGTCCTGTAGAAAAGTATGTCGGTATATACGGTTTCCAGGTGTGCTGTGTCCCGCAGCGTCATAACATCAGGCTACAGCAGTGCTGTCATCATCCTACCTGTTCTCACACTGCCGCCCCCTGTGGGGATACAAAGCAATAACAATTGATGTCAAACAAACATTTAACTGCCATTGAAGCACCAGAGCTGCTATGGTGAGTGAGTTAGCAGCCAGCCAACATCGGACCCCCAAATATCGGGGGTATTTCGCCCACTGATGTTTAGAATATAATTAATGTTCTGTTATAACAGTCAATGATAGAATATTGTGTATATATATATTGTAAATGTATATTAAAGCAAAGATTGTTGAGAACACAGCCAAACTGGTAAAAACGACTTTTAAATATTTATATTACCGTCTTTGTTTTCTGTTAACAGATTAGCTTTGCTGTGAACTCTGACTCTTCATGTTAAATTAATTCGGTTTAATTTAATTTTAAGGGTGGTGGTCTGTCGTCTCTGCTACCCCAACCTAAAAACCTGGTGTTGAAGGAAACGCAGCGCCCCCTGCTGCCTCACACCCTCACTAAACGCCCCGCGTCTGCGCCGCAGTCCAAAGGGAAGCCAGGCTCGCAGGCCGTCTCTGGTACGAGTCCGTCTCCGTCCGCCATCAAGGCCGCGGCGAAATCCGCAGCGCTGCAGCTGGCCCGGCAGATGGCGGCCGACGAGGAGGGAAGTGATGATGAACTCGCTCCGGAAAACTACTTCTCCCTCCCGGAGAGCTCCACGCAGCCCGCCGCCGCCCCTTACCCGGAAGCTGAACCGTATGCCCCCTCCCTTCACCCTCCCCCCAGCATGGAGGACGCCCCCCTCGACTTCAGCTCGAAGGCAGAGTCGCACCCCAAGCCCACCTGGGCTGATTATCAGAGAGATGATTACCAAACCCAAAATCAGGAGACGGGGGATCCATCACCAAAACCCTGTCCTCAGGTACGGACAGCTGCTTCAGAGACCTAAAGCAGTGATTTTGGTTACACTTTATTATGAGTGGTACTTTATAGATGATTTATAAGATTTTAGCAGATTATCAGTAACACATCAACAGCATATCAGTGAAGTAGCAGTAGTGAAACATCTGAATACACTGAAGTAAATATCTTGTAGACCCAACATAATCTCAACCCAAAACCTAATCCTAACCTTCACCCTGGCCCTAATCCTAACCCTAACCTTAATCTCAACCCAAAACCTAATCCTAACTTTCACCCTGGCCCTAATCCTAACCCTAACCTTAATCTCAACCCAAACCTAATCCTAACTTTCACCCTGGCCCTAATCCTAACCTTAATCTCAACCCAAAACCTAATCCTAACTTTCACCCTGGCCCTAACCCTAACCTTAATCTCAACCCAAAACCTAATCCTAACCTACACCCTGGCCCTAATCCTAACCTTAATCTCAACCCAAAACCTAATCCTAACCTTCACCCTGGCCCTAATCCTAACCTTAACCTCAAACCAAAACCTAATCCTAACCCTGGCCCTAATCTTAACCTTAACCTCAACCCAAAACCTAATCCTAACCTTCACCCTGGCCCTAATCCTAACCTTTACCTCAGCCCAAAACCTAATCCTAACCCTGGCCCTAATCCTAACCTTAACCTCAACCCAAAACCTAATCCTAACCCTGCCCTAATCCTAACCTTAACCTCAACCCAAAACCTAATCCTAAACCTCACCCTGGCCCTAATCCTAACCTTAACCTCAACCTAAAACCTAATCCTCACCCTGCCCTAATCCTAACCTTAACCTCAACCCAAAACCTAATCCTAACCCTGGCCCTAATCCTAACCGTAACCTCAACCTAAAACCTAATCCTAACCCTGCCCTAATCCTAACCTTAACCTCAACCCAAAACCTAATCCTAACCCTGGCCCTAATCCTAACCTTAACCTCAACCCAAAACCTAATCCTAACCTTAACCTCAACCCAAAACCTAATCCTAACCCTGGCCCTAATCCTAACCTTAACCTCAACCCAAAACTTAATCCTAACCCTAACTTTAATCCTAATAATCCTAATCCTAACCCTCATATGTTTTTGATGTTACTGAGAGTTTGTTGAGTGACACTCAGAATAAAGAGTCACCGTGATTTCTGACGCACTGTTCTCTGAAGGGATGCAGATGCAGCGATATAAGAATCAGTGCTGATATCTGAGCTTCATGTGCAAATCTGACACCAATACCGATACATAAACATTTATAAACTCTAGAAATTGGGACCAAATCTACCCAAATCAGCATTACAGAAAAATATAACCTTTATTCCTGAAACGTGACAGATGCAGTAAAATAAATGAAATGCAGATAAATACAGATATTTAGTGCAGTGCCTTAAACACTCTGCTCCTCTGGAGATCAGTACGTATGTCATCATATCTGCTGATGAGCTTTGTAGGCAAATTGAAGCATATATTTCCACTGAAGTGCTTTATGTGAGAATGTAGGGCCGTAATTGTCCATGAAAAACCTCGTATATTTTCCGTGTGTAATTCTGGATGCAGGACTCGCATTCCCCCTACTTACGTAAACATCAGTGACAAAAACTCTGTGCTTTTGTATTTGTTTGCTGCAGGATTATTACAGTGAGGGGTTCTACCAGGACCACAGTGCTGGGTTCATTGAAGAGGAAGAACCAGAATCTTCCACTCTGTTCAATGATGAAGCAGTGAGTGATTTATTTTGTTTTTTATTTTAAAACTGTAAATATGTAACCACCCAAATAATATTAGGTTACACACAATACTACGGAAATTAACTTTTGCTAAAAATATTAATAATAATTATATGGAAACAAAATAATAATAAAGCCAATGACAGTTCAGCATGTTTAAAGGTGCTGTGTGTGAGATTTCGGGGGCTCTATTAACAAAATTAGAAAAATGTAGAAATGGAATATAGTAAACAAAACCATGTTTTATTAGTGTATAATCAGCTGTAACTATGAATTGCTGTGTTCTTGTGATCATAGAATGAGCCCTTCATATCTAGATAGTCAACAGAGGCCGCCATGTTGCGCTGCTATGTTTCAACAGTAGCCCAGAACAAACAAACCAAACTCTGGCTCTAGAGGGCGCCTTTCACACTTTTACACTGAAGCGGCAGCTTGAATTTGGTGGCGCTGTAGTTCTGGCTGGAAGACGTAGAAAGAAGAAGAATCAGTGGTTGCTGCCGGTTCTGCTGACCATTTTGTGTTGTGAGAAGTTTGAGAACCCAAATTTTGACAAACGGAGGATCAGACTTATTATTTAGCAGAAGAAAAAGTGAGGGAGGGTGATTCGTCACCGTCAAAGAAGAGGAAACATGAAGAAGGAAAACAAAATCAGAACAGACGACGGCAGAAAACCTGACGGCCACCGTAGTTTCTACTACGTGCTTGGAAAAGGAGGAGTGAGGGAGGGGATTCAGCTGGGTGCAATCTGCAACCTCACCACTAGAGACCACTAAATCTCACACACTGCACCTTTAACTGATGCATTTTGTTTCAAGTATCAATGAAATACTTCAGCAAACGTCTCTCTGCAGGACTTGCTTGTGAATTTTCTCCACAGTTCCGCAGGTTACAGGGCAAACAGAACCGGGGTAAAGAAGAAATCAAGTTTCTGGAGATTAAAGGAGATGACCAGCTGAGCGGGAGCCAGCAGTGGTTGACCAAGAACATGACTACGGAATCAGAGCCACGGAAGTCCTTCAGTAAAGTGAGTACCGCATCAGGACCGGGACGGCTGGTCCTCCAGCAGGACTCTGTCGTTGTAAATTAGTGATGGAATATGATGAAATTCACTGACAATCAAAAGAAAACAGTTTTATCAGCTGGAAACTGGATTCCTAGTTTATGTTTTGTTTATTCAAACATTAAAAGCATCTTGTTATACAAATAGATTATTATTGTTATCAATAAATGATTTCATGTTTCTAGAAAAAAGGAGATCAACCAACAGGGCAGCAGAGACGCAAACACCAGATCACGTATCTGATTCATCAGGTGAGTGAAAAGGAGATGGAGATAAACTTGCATGTGATCTAATGTGGCTCTTATTACTTTATGATGATCAGAGAGCACAATATATATATATATATAATAACTCATCGTGAGAGAAGAAACAGTGTAGAATATTAGTGACCCATGAAGTAACAGCATGTGTTATTAGCCCCATTTATAGTTTTGTGTGTTGGATCTTCTGTCTTTGGTTTTTATTTAGCTCTAAAGTGCATTATAAAGCAACATAAGATATTTTATCATTGGATATTTATGACATTAATGACGTTTAGTGGACACTCTTATCCAAAAAGCCTTAAAAAGTGCTTTGTTTTGTGGAAATGTTCTAATTTACATGTCTGCAGAGAATTTGGGTGAAAGTGTGTTATGTGTGGGGAGCAGGACGCTGGCCACTGGCATGTCGCTGCTGTCGGAACAAAACCTTGTATCTCCATTTTTGTCGTTTTTCAGTTTTTGACATTTTGAAAATGCCTGTTACCCTTTACATTGTGTCCAAATTGTGAATGGACCAAAAGAAATGACCCAAATGACTTGCAAAGAATTCTGGTTCCACTGACTCACATTAAAAGTAAAGTGTGTTTTTTCCTTCTCCTGTAAAGTTACCATTCTGGAGATGCGAGGTTTTCTTCTGACAACAGCGACATATTTGAGAATGGTCTATAATAAGACATTTTTGGACAGTGTTGCATGAAGTACTGAAAAACATACTAAGTTTAGAATTTCCCTGTGAATTGGACACACTTTTCCTAGAGGTGCCAAATTTTGATATAACAAGATCGGACAAACATTTATGGGGCAGTCTATTAATTGCAAGTAAAAAAGCTGTAACAATCCTCATCCCCCACCCGGATAAACCTGGTCAATGAAATATATGTAATGGAAAAAAATTGCTTTTTCTAATAGACTGAAAGTGGCAGAATTGGTAAAATTATGGCTACAATGGGTCGACTATATGAAGTCTATAAGGCCAGAGTTTGTTGAGATGCAGTGTGAGTTCGGTGTGGGTTATATGACGTATGAAAGCATGTATAATTGGAAATTAACACGTGCATGGAACTGTTGTCATTACCTGCTTTTCAATGTCTCCCCTGAAGAAATACAATAAACAGTGCTTTGTTTTATTGTTAGCTGGTACAGAGTGTACAGCGTTAGCCTCACAGAGGTTCTGTAAATACTCAACACCCCTTAAAACACATGATCGGTTCAGATCTCCAGGTAAGTAACGTCTGTTATAGCAGAGACGCAGGACTGGATTAGTGTCACAGTGAATGAAATCAGAGCAGGACTGTGTTATTGATCATCTCTGTCCGTCTGCAGGCTAAGGAGCGTGAGCTGGAGCTGAAGAACAACTGGGCTGATAATAAAGTCACCCGGCGACAGACGCAGGCCAAGTACGGCTTCTAGCGGATGGCGTGCTAATAGGCTCGTTAGCTATGCTAAGCTAACTGCAGCTCATTTTTGTTTCGAGTCTGAGTTTATGGAGACTCAGTAGACAAAGTTATGGAAGCCCATCAGGTAGAGAAAAACATTTTTCCCCTCCTGTTCTGTTTCTGGCAGCGTCAAACTGGCTTAGTATCTCAATATTGACTTATTTTCTCAAAATATTTATCAATAATGGCATTTTTTTTGAGTTTTTGAGTATTTTTTGAGTATTTTGAGATACTGTGTCAAAATAATGATTGCATTTCAATCATTGTTTCAGCATATTAAGTCAGTATTTTGAGAAAACAAGTCATTATGCCAGAAACAGAGAAGGAAAAAAATGAGTGGTAGTTTTTTTTTTTCTCCTCTGCTTGGTGGAAATGGGCTTCTATACGAAGTGGGTACCATTAGAATAACTTCACTGCCGAACCTGCACGTAGTTTTCCATCTAATGTTCTAGCATCATTGACTCTCTTCCTGCTGCGCTAACAGTCTGCGTGGACATTCTGTACCGAAAGATGGAATCCAAAAGTCGAACCTGTCTGCTCATCGCCCCCTGAAGCAGCAGAGATGCTTCAGCAGCTGCTCGTCGGCTTCTGTTGTGAATGATTCGGTGGGTTTTCTGCTCTTTAACTACAGTTGAATGCAAACGTCTTGGTCAAATTCCATGTTGTTGTTTATTTGAATATGAATAAGTGACCACATCCTCTACAGAGACACACTTCTGCACATTTCAATACACACTTACTGTTTATTTACTAAATTTAACACACTGGAAAACACAAAATGTGGTTCATATTAGGCCACATTTAATGTTAGATCTTTTCAGGATGTCAAATTCAGCTCATAAATAGAAATTTTCCTCTAAAATTTGGAGAAAATGACCATATTTAAGTTTGTTTGTACATATTTAAACATGTAGTTTGTTCGGACTTTTGCGTACGACTGTGAGTCTAGGGAAATGAATCAGTAGACAAAGTTCTGGAAGCCCACCAGGAAGAGAGGAACATTTTTTTCCCCCCCTTTTGTTTTGGAAACTGTCCAAAGTCAAACTGACTTAATATCTCAAAATATTGAATTTTCTTGAGCTTTTGAGATACTACACTCTTAAAAAAGATGGTCCTGTAAGGGTTCTTGGGTAAAGAAAATGGTTCTATATAGAACCATAAACACTCAAAGAACCATTTGCATGATTAAAGCGTTATTTGCATCATGAAAGGGCTCTTCAGAACGTGCTGCAGATGGTTCTAAACAGAATCTTTTTGAAAATGGTTAAATGTAGCACCCAAAAGGGTTCTTCTTTTGTTACGGTGTCAGGCTTTTGGGTGCTATATAGAGCCGTTTTCAAAAAGGTTCTATATAGAACCGTCTCTAGCACATTCATGCACATTTTCCACCATGCAAAGAACCCTTTAATCATGCTAATGGTTCTTTGAATGTTCATGGTGCTATTTAGAACCATTTCCTTTACTAAAGAACCCTTGAAGAACCATCTTTTTTAAGAGTGTATGTCAAAATTAGTTAATACACTTCAAGAAAGCAAGTATTTTTGGGAGTCATTATTGCAAAATACTAAGTAGTCATTTTGACATAGTAAGTTACAATTTCAACATATTAAGTCAATATTTTGAGAAAATAACTCGTTATGCCAGAAAAAAAAAATTAAAAATTAAAGATGATTATTTTTCTCCTCTACTTGGTGGAAATGGGCTTCCAGACAAAGTAAACATCTGTGCACCATTAGAAGAATTTCGACTGCAAGTACAGAAACGAATGAGGATGATTATCTGTGGAAACTGACTGGGCTGTAGATGCTGTACATGCGGCAGGTAGAGATGCGGTTAAAAACTCCTTTAATTTGATTTAAGCCCATAATTTGCCAGTATCAGTGTATACAAAGTCCTCTACACTGTAGTGTCACACTGTGTCTGTTCCAGCATGTTTTAATCAACTCCTTTATCTACACTGAGGCTGAATAAAGTGTAAGCCCCGCCCTCCACACAGCCCCCTCTCCATAAACAGCTTTACCTTTAAAATAATGTATGACACCCAAACTAACGTTATTAAGAATGTAGTGGCAGCTTGTCCTGGTTGGTTGTGATACCTATAAAATATATTCTCTCGTTCTCAGACTCATTTCGGTAACTCCGTCAGGCTGGTGTGTTGGTAACTGGGCTGACGACCTTCATCCACATTAATATATTTTCAACATATTACTTTTTTATAAGGGTAACTAAAGTGAACTACTGCTGAGTTGTAATGTTGGCTGATTCTCGGTTGGGATCATGTGAGAATAACAGCATATAAAGCTGTAAACCTGATAAACACACACATTTCTGTGTCCACAGCTCCGGTCCAGCCTGTTCCTCTGTGAACTGCATGAACGTTAAATTAACATAAGCAGGAAGAGCAGAGCTCGTCTACTCACTGCCAGACACAACAGTGAAAGCAGTACAGTTGTTAAAGGGGAATGCCACAGATGTTTCAAAATTTTGGCATAATTCATAAAGTTGTTCGGAGTGGTTTGATGCAAAACGGGTAATTGCAGAGAAAGATAGAGATTCAGATGTCTTTACAGTGGTGGTGATAGGAACCAGGGGTCACCATGACTACAACATTTTATTTACTATCCAGAACCACCAGTGAACCTACACAAGTCTTCTGAGTTTATATGGAATGTTGATGATGGAAAATAGTGGAAAATCTGGAATAATAAGTTTTCTTTGGGGACTATTTTGCCTCACAGCGCCCTGCATGTATCCCTCCACCATGAATGGAGTTTAAGTTCTCTAAACTATCATAAAACAGTGTCTCAGTCATCAGGCAGTGAATTCATAACCATTTCATGTAGGAACTTTCTGTGAGGGAGCTTTTAGAGGTGGACGTCTGGTTCCTATCACCACCACTGTGAACAATTCTGACTCGGTAAGTTTATCTAGAACGGAGCGTTTCACACCAAACAACTCTGAACCACTCTGTTTACATCTCAACCATCTATTTATGGATTTTGAAATATCAGTGGAACTCCCCTTTAATGCTCTGTAGGAGATGCATTTCAGCAGGACGGGGTTTTTAATGTGAAGTTGGAGATGATGATAAAAGTTGTGTAAGAAAAAGTGACTTTTTTATGTTGGCAATTCTATTATCACTGTCTTTCTGAAACAAATATTAGTCCTATATCCAAGTAAATAACGTTTCAAACCCATTTGTCTACGAGTGTCTTATTATAATTCTTATTTTTTTTAAAGGGCCTATATCATTGAAAACTGAGTTTTCCCATTCGTCAGTCACTCCCTCGTCCATACACGGACACTGTTTTTGAATTCGCTGGTTTTATGACTTAATTAAAAGCAACACATTTCCATCTGTCCTCCTATTTAAGAAGTGAGGAGTGTTTCTGAATCATTTACATACACCGGTCAGGCATAACATTCTGACCACCTCCTTGTTTCTACACTCATTGTCCATTTTATCAGCTCCACTTACTATATAGGTGCACTTTGTAGTTCTACAGTTACAGACTGTAGTCCATCTGTTTCTCTGCATACTTTGATAGCCCCCTTTTACCCTGTTCTTCAGTGGTCAGGACCCCCATGGACCCTCACAGAGCAGGTACTATTTGGGTGGTGGATCATTCTCAGCACTGCAGTAACACTGACGTGGTGGTGGTGTGTTAGTGTGTGTTTTGCTGGTCTGAGTGGATCAGACACAGCAGTGCTGCTGGAGTTTTTAAACACCTCAGTGTCACTGCTGGACTGAGAATAGTCCACCAACCAAAAATATCCAGCCAACAGCGTCCTGTGGGCAGCGTCCTGTGACCACTGATGAAGGACTAGAGGATGACCAACACAAACTGTGCAGCAGCAGATGAGCTATCGTCTCTGACTTTACATCTACAAGGTGGACTGACAAGGTAGGAGTGTCTAATAGAGTGGACAGTGAGTGGACACAGTGTTTAAAAACTCCAGCAGCACTGCTGTGTCTGATCCACTCAGACCAGCACAACACACACTAACACACCACCACCACGTCAGTGTTAAAGGCACAGTAAGAAAAACAGCCTGTTTAATTCTAAGGGATAAAGAGAGGTTAATCATGTACAAATTAATTATGACCCAGTTTAGTACATAGAACCATACAAGTGTCACCAGGGACAAGGAAAATGTAGAATATGGGCCCCTTAAGACCACCTTAAACCTGTCTTCGAGCAGATTCCTTTTCAGCATCTGCCAACATTGGGCCTAAAAATATGAACTGACCACTTAAACTGGAGTTGTGCTTCAGCTGAATGTCCTAGGAGTCAGTACTGTATCCATGTTGGGTCAAATGCTTAATTCACACTACAGTGAACTTAAACCTTTCAGTTATGAGCAAAATCATGCTGTGATTGTATATGAACTGCAGCTCCCTGAAACAGGAGAAATTATGTGGAAAGTGCAGATGCTAAACCTTTAATCCACAGCGCATTTGTACATAGGAGATAAGCTCTCCAGACAAAAAATGAGTCACCTTGTGTGTTTAATGTGATAGTAACTTAAGGCTCCTGCAGATGGCGCTGCACGAGGATGATCAGACTGTAAATCCCTGCAGGGTGTGTGACGGCATTCATAGATTGAGAAAAGGTGGTACAGTGCAGTGAATGTCTCGTTCGATGTGTGGAAAATGAGTCGCAAAGCAGATGTTAATGAGTGGCAAAAAGGAGTGATTGTATTTGGGCCAAAGGCCACAGTGTGAAGGAAGTAGCTGAATCTGCAGGGGTATTGAAGCGTCCGGTCATACGGGTCAACAGCAGAGGCAGAAATCCCAGCCTACAGGAAATTCTCGTCAGAATTGTGGCCAAAAGATGAAACTGACGGTCAGGGACCGCCGGCGTGTTTCACAGCTTCTGAATAAAAATCGTTTCGCTTCCAGGCAAGAATTGCTTCTAGATGTCAACGCAGGTTCTTCACAACCAATTTCTGACAGAACCTCTGCAGGGAACCACATACCATGTCAGAACTACACAATTCTCTGATACAAGAGTGGCTGAAAGTTGATGTCGCCTACATCCAGAAACTCGTCCAGTCCATGACAAATCGAATCACAGCGGTTATTCGTTTTTACAGTCTATTAGGTGCGTTTCAGTCACATTTTTTGTCTGGTGATCTTAATTTATGATTTGAATTTGATTCTCTTTTTTTGAGGACAGAAAAAACATCCTTTATATTTTTGCCATTTTTTTGTCATCAAAACAAACTGAAAAAAGTCTGATCAAGTGGAGATTCAAAGCTGTCCAAAGTTAATCCAATGTAAAATAATTCATTACGTAATTTATTGACATAAGCAAGGAGTGCGTATACATGCACTCAATAATCCGATCATAATCAGATTTCTGCAGTTTATTTAAATGGTCATGTAAACACCATACTCCAATCTAGAAATCTGATAAAGAGGCTGGCTCAGTAATCAGATTTCTCAGTGAATGTAAACGCTTGCTCTGATTTCTATCGGATTTCTCAGTCTGTGATGCACGAGATCAGACGGTGGATGTCGCGAGATGCAGCAAAACACTGCTGGAGCGGCGCTGAAACCAAACACGAAATAAAGGATGTAATTATTCTTCATCTTCTAGATGATGTTTGTTCATATCTTCAGGTAAAGCAGCACAATGTTTAAAAATAAAAGCTGCGGCATAAAGTTTGAGTTCTGTGTTATGTTTATGTCGTCTTCTCTGAGTCTACTGGCTGGTTGCAAAGCAGAAATCTGATTACTGTCTGACACGTGTAGACTCTGAGTTTCCCCATTATCTGATTACTCTAGTGCATGTAAACATGTTGATCGGATTACTGACCAAATCTGATTTTCTGCAGATTATTAAGTGCATTTAAACACACTCAGTGTTATTGTACTTAAACATTACAGCAAAACAGTAACTCTCTGCCTCTAAAGGTTAAGGACGCTGAAGAAAGAGCTGACCACGAGAGGATGAGGGGATAAGGTCTATTTAATGTTAGTCCAAAAGTATAAACAGCTGTGTAGTCCTATCCTGTATTTGCTGAGGAGGTGACTGTAATCTAAACTGGATTATGATTCTGGATCGGGTTGCTGTTCCTCCTGCTTGAGCCGCTTCCTCTGCCTCGGCTCCACGAACGGCACCACAGACATCGGAA